CATTAGAATGAGTAACAATATCAACGCCAACAATCTCAACACAGACTCGTCCTCCTCCCCCGTCAATGTGCCCAAGATGGATGCGCTCATCATCCCGGTGACCATGGAGGTGCCCTGCGATAGCCGCGGACAGCGCATGTGGTGGGCTTTCCTCGCCTCATCCATGGTCACTTTCTTTGGGGGACTGTTTATCATCCTGCTGTGGAGGACCCTCAAGTACCTGTGGACTGTCTGCTGCCACTGCGGAGTCAAAAACAAGGTAACTCCCCCTCCCCTTCCCGTCCTGGTGCCCGTTATGGTTTGGTGCGGTGCTGGTGGTGGTGAGGAGCAGTGGGAGCCCAGCCTCGTAGACAAGACACCTGGGCGAGGTGGAACTGGAGGAGACGCCGTAGGGCTGTTGTTGCATGGCAGAGTGCTGTTGTGGTAGGGTTGCCACGGGCTGTTGGGAGCCGCAACGTGGGGAGCGTGGCTGGAGGAGTGAAGTGTTGGGTGCAGCCCTGAGACGTGCCCCTCTGTCCCCCTCTCTCCCTTCCACCCTGCACTTTCATCTGGTGGCACGAAAGTTACATCTGGTGTGGGCTCACCCTCTCGGCGAGGCACACGCTGGCACGGTGGGACCGTGTTGTTCTGAACTTGATACGCACCCTCAGGACCACATATGATGGCGGGGTGGGAGTGCTTACTTATCGATCTAAACTCTCAGTTCTCTTGTGGAATGAGAAACGTTGGCAAAATTAAAAAGGCAAACTTCCCACTCAGGTAAACCTTTTTAAAGCTAGTTCCGCTCCCCAAGAATCTTTGACAATTCTGTTTGATAAGTGTAGCTATCAAAAAGTATTTAGTGCATTCATAAGTAACAGAATAGATCAATATTCTTTTAACCTAAGTGCAAAATCTTTGAGGCAACCTCTCTGCCGCTTTGATTTTTGTGTATTACCAGCGGGAAGAAAGCGTAGTACGTGAAGTAAGGTCGGCTCCTGGTTTGAAGGGTCTCTTTCAAACCAAAGCTAAGAACTTGCTCAGGTCCAGACTTTCAGTTTTGTTTAAGACAAATGGAATAGAAAGTGTTAAGACTCTGTATTTGTGAAAGTGGATTTTGACAGACCCCAAAATAGACCAGCAGCTGGAGTTTCTCCCCTTCCCTTTTCACATTTTTTGGATTACAAATGGAATAATATCTGCTTCAGTTATTCCTGGCACACAGACACCCACAAAAACACACACACCTTTTAATATATGGTTGCTAGGTTGCTGGCTTGCTTTGACGTACAGTGAGCTGTCTTCCCCCTTCTCCTCTCCCCTCCCCCTTAAACACACTTGATACAGCACATAACCCAGCTGTACGAAGGATCTAACACTTAGGGGAAACCAGAAACAAAGTTAGAGTGTGAGAAGTTACAGTACTTGTTTGTTTGTTTGGATTTAGTAAGGTAGGCGTCCGGTTCGGATTGCAGAAACGAACCGCTATGTTGCAGTTGGAAGTAGAACATGAGTTACCGTGAACTTGGCCTATCTATGGAAGAAGTGATTGCTAGAGATAAGGAATAAATAAAAGCTTTTAACTCAACCTTAAGCTTCAGGAAACCTACTAGGCAGTATCACTTCTCCATAGGCATTTTTTGTTTTGTTCAAAACCAAACCTGAACTTTCTTAGAGAGATGTTAGCCGGATATGATGACAAAGCTCAAATGAATTTGTGACAAGAAGTGCGTCATGTAAAACACCATTTCCTATAACATTAAAAGGTGATTTTCAAGAATGAATGGGTAGTTAAGACTTACCTTCAATTTCTTCTGTATATGTTTAGCATTTTCCTTTCCACGTGATGAAACAAATTGGCAAGGGCTCTCAGGGATCTTGATGAAAAAGAAAATCCTACAGGTTATCACCTCATGCTGCTTTCCTCGAGAGAATGAAAAGTTAGAGACTTGTACACAGAATTCTTACACATAATGTATTGGTGGGTATTATTGGTCTGATAGTCCATTGTTGGGACATAGTCAGTTAAAACAGATCATTCATTTCTTAACCAGTACAGAAAGCCATATCCAAATTGTCTTTAAAACCTCGTAGGCTAATTGTATCAGCTTACTAAATAACAGGTATCATTGAGAGGTTCCAACACTTCTGGTCAGAATGATTGGATGTACTGTGGCTATGTCAGGTTGTAAAATTTATTTCATGTCTGAAACCTGAAGTAGCTAGGCCCTTCGGTATCATTCCCTGGGGCAGGAGGATTAAGGACTCTGCAGGTAGGGGGAGATAGACATCTCTTTTTAGGTTGTGTGTGTTCCACTTGTAAGGGTTTTCAAGCTTTTAGTGAAGAAGAACTTTAAAGGGCTGATCCTGCATTCCTCCCATGCTAAAACAGGGAACTGGAGGGAATTCCGTGTGTGGAAGGAGTAACTAGTTATTGCAAAATGCTTTTCTGGTATTTAGGGTATAAAGGCTAACTGAAGTAACAACTGGAAATGTCTTAAACGTTGCTGTTATCAAAAACATGCTTTGTGCTGAGTGGTAACTTGGGAAAGGCTGCTGAGGCTGCAGGTGAAAAATGTGAATGCATATATACGCTATGTCGACTCTATTGGACCTGCCAGCAAAAGCAATTTTACAAGAAGCAGCTCCTCCTGCTGCAGGACTGAAGAAGTTTTCTGCATGTTAGGACCTTTCCTTCCCTCTGCTGCCTCTCGCGCTGCTCCGCAGGTTGTAGCAGAGTTGGGTTATCCAACATTGTCTCTCCATCCATGTGAAGAGTGGTCCCAGTGAGTGTGCTAGGAGAAATCTTTCTGGTTTCTGCTTTCTGTGGCTTTTTACTGAATAATTCATGTATATATGTGAATTACATATAGTGAATAATTCACAGAGTTACTGTGCTAACACTCTTGTCCGTATATGTTATTGTAAGGAACTAAAAAAAGTTTCATTTATTTTCCTGCTCTAAGTGCAACATTGTATTCCTCAGATTTGTCAGTGATTGCCGACTTGATTTTGGAATGTAACACTTTTTAATATCTCTATAGAAGGGTTTAGAATGTCAGTTGTTTGATTTTTTTTTTCTCTCCTTTTCTCATTAAATTTAAGGTTGGAATTTAAAAATCTGATATAAACAGTTCAACACTTTGTGGAATGAAATTTTGCTACAGTTTCTTTTTTCTTGGAGATAAGAAAGTCAAGATTCTCTAAGTCAAGAATATGAAAACTTCTGGTAACAGAATGATAAACGTTACCCCTTCATTTTCCATATCCAATTTATGTCATTGTATATGAATAGAACATTAATATTAATCATGTATTAAAAGTGATTGCTGAAGTTTTAGGATTTTTATACTCCGTGCTTACTTTGTGAGATGACATTTTTAAAAATCTGCCAAAAAGAAGAATGTAAATCTTGACCAATGTTGTCAGTGTTTCATATAATGTGAGAGTCAATACAATTGAAGCCCTTATATTCCTATATTTAATATGGTATGTGATTTTAGATGTAATTCTTCCAAAATTAGCTACAGTCATATTGTAAAGACTCAAGAAATGCTGTTTTTCTCCTCAGTGTTTACTTCTACATTTTAATGAATGCTTAGATCTTGTTAAAGAACTTGTCTTCTCTTTGCTTTTTCTTTGTCCCTTGACCAAAGAGGAATCTCTTTGTATATGAAAAGTAGAATGTGAGATTGAAATTCAGTGGGCTGGACTCTGACACCATTCATTGCTCTTGTTTCTGAGAACAGCAGAAAAATAAAATAAATGTGCATGGTGAAGTACACATAGTGGCTAAATGTGCATTATACAATCTGTAGTTCTTTTGCATTTTTATTTTTTGCATTTTCTACTGACATTACCTGATGGTATATTTTGGCTTCGAACAAACTCTAACAAGAAGAAGGAGCAGTAGTAGAAAGAGGGAGCACAAGCTTGGGGCACAGCTGGCTCCTGAAGCTGACCAGTGCAGAATGAACTGAAATTTGTACTCTTTTGAAGAGCATGATGCTCACTGCTCCTTTGGTTCCCCTTATGTACCTGATGCCTTCAAGGCTCTTGCTGGTAGAATGTATCTTGAGTGCTATGTTCCTATTGGAATTATTTCAGTATTTTAAAGAGCTTTTCCTCCCCGTGAGTTCCCTCTGGACTCGTATACATATAAAATGGTATTACATTATGATTATAGACAGAAGTTGCTAGCGTGAAATGACAAGCCATAATAGCCTTCTTTGATATTGATCTACATATTTTGGAAGCTTAATAAAGTGTGCAGTGGTAGATTTGGTCAGTAGAAACCGTCAACATGCCCATTTGTTTTGAATAGAAAAATAGAAATATTTGCTGAAAGTACAATATTTGCGGAAGTCTTCTTTGAGAAGTTAAGAATTTTCACCCAGACCTCTAAGGCCTGAGAAAATTTCTAAGTGGAAAAATTTAAGTTTTCCCTAAAAGAAGAAGTGTTTCTACCAAACTGGTTCTCATACACCTGGGTTCGCTGATTTCCTAGCAATACCTGCATAAACCTCCTCTCCAAATAGAATTAAACAAACTCAAAACAAGGCACTATATATTGAGTAAAGTACGAGAGTAGATTGGAAGGTGCGTGTGGACACGGAACGCAGGAGATCCCTTCATTTAAGTCTGTGTGTGGAAACCTCACCTTGACTCTCTCGAAGATGTATCAAGCAGAAGCGTATGAACAACTGGAAGGCTCAAGGGATTAGCAGCGGACTGTAATGCATTTTGCTTGTTAGTCACATGCGCATCCTGGCTCCAGGCATTGAATCTTTCCTGTCTCATGGCCGTCAGGTGGTCTGTGCGTAATTATTCCGTGACCGTCCCACCGGACAGGTTGCCAATTGAGAGATGGACGTGGTGGAGAGGTCAAGGACTGAAGGGAAAGGTACGCACAGCTCTTTGCAGATGGCGTTTCTACAAGTGAAAAAGGCACCGATATGGAGAGGTGTGCGCTGCTGTTTCCCGCGCTGTGGACAAGAGTACACGCTTTCAGCTCTCTGGAGCTCATAGTGGATTTCACATTTTATAAACACATGCTAAAACTGGTTATGCATGCAGAAAAGAAAATGTATGGACAAGGATTTAAGCTGTAAACCAAACAATCTCGACCGAAATGTTATTTTGATGCATTATCATACTTATTTTCAAGGCTTTGCAACACATACATTTAAGGAGAAAATCTGTGCTTAGAAGGAATTTGCAACCCTCGCACGTTTGCAAATCTGCAAGTGCTGGTTGGAAACCATTGATTTCACAATTTTT